TTTTTTTAATTGAATTTTTGTGTATTTCATACAGAACATCTCAATCAATATTAATCATCTTTATACCCCTTCCCCTCTGGCACCACCCCATACCTCCCCCGACACCTGGAATTCCTAAACTCTGTCATTTGTATTAAGGCCTATTGTGTCAAGTTAGGGTTCCCAGATGTCCTTCAATACAAGATCATCTACTGAGGTCTAGTCAGCCTATCTAGAATCTCTCACTTTAGGGAGATCAGCTCTACCTCATTCAACAGCAATCAGTTACCAATATTCCTTAAGCAAAAATTTGAGTCAGCTGCCCATTTCTCTAGCTCTATGCTGGGTTTTTGTCTGTTTGGGTGTGCATGGGTCCTGTGCATGCTGAGAACATTGTTGTAGGTTCATATGAGCAGGGTCCCAGGAGCCTGTAGAGCTCTATTTCCATATGGTTGTGCACCTCCTCCCTGACTCTTACAATATTTCTGTCTCCTCTTCCAGAGTGGTCCCTGAAGTCTGGATGAGTGAAGTTTAGTATAGGAGACCTGTCCAAGGACTAGCATTCTGTAGACTCTTAGTCTCTACACCTTCTTTACCCCTTGTTCTATGTTCCATAAACCTTAGGTGTAGAGGTTGCATAGTAGCTGTGCCACTTAGACTTGGGCAATTATTAGATAAGCAGATGCCAACAGGGTGGAAACTACTTAGGATGGATGAGAAGAAGTCAACAGCTTCTTAACTAGTTAGACTCGATTTAACTGGATTCTAAAGTCTTCATTTAGGAAGTACTTCTATGGGGTCATCCTTTCCTGTTCTAATACCTTATGTATGGTTTTTGGAACAAAGGTAAGGAAGGAATTCTGCCAGTAAATGTGCTAACTAACCTGAGAACACTAGTAAATGAAAGGCTGTGCAGGGTGTGATCTGGCTATAGGAAATGTTGCATCATATGTTATAAAGAAAATTATAAAAGTAATTGAAACAATGTACTGCTGACTTCTCATGGAAATATCTTAAAATAAAATTTCTATTTTATAATAATTAATTGATCCAGAAGGATTTTTGATGAATAAATACTTTAATAAAACCCACAAATGCAATTTGGTATTGATTGTTAACTAATTCAAGTATAATAACTTCAGGCATACAGCTAACTTGCCTGACTGCTGACAATAGTTTTTTTTCTAATAATTTAGGAGACATTAGCATTTCTCTGCTCAGGATATAAAGATGAAGAAAGCACAGCAGGAACCATGGGACTAGAATAATATATAATACAAGCACATCATGAGGGCATTTGGAAGAATACGGAGAATACCTGTACTATTATACATCAAAATAGATGTGATGTACTGAAAAAGTTATTCATGTGGAAATAATTATGGGAATTCTGGAAACCATTTTTATATTGAAATTTCAATGTAAGATGCTTAATTTTATGTTCATATTGGCTTATTTATTAAAATTAATTGTTAGATCAACTACTGCCTGTTTGGAATACTGGAAATAAAAAGTACAGATGTTGTGTCTTATGAAATTTCCTATAGTAAAGTTTTACTAATTAAGACTGATCTGTGTGAGATGATGGCAATCATCTTTCTGGACTGACTTGAAGTGAAGAGAATACTCTTGCTGAGCACTTGGGAAAAGAAAAAGAAAAAAAGAGTGATCTGTGCAAGTGACATGGCTCATGGGGGTCCGCTGCCTAACCTGATGAACGGAGTTTGATCCCTGGGACCAAAAAGGCTGAGGGAGAGAACAACCAGTCACAAACTGTCCTCTGATCCTCACATTTGCATCAAGGCACACACACACACACACACACACACACACACACAGAAATTTTTTCTAATTTTTTAACGCCTAGCCTTCTTGTGGAGCACTATTCAATGTGATAGGCAGCACCCGCACACACACACACACACACACACACGCACGCACGCACCTGCACACGCGCGCGCGCACGCACACACACACACTGAATATTATTTCCATGCACAGATTGAGAGGAGAGAGTCCAATAACTGGAAAATTTGTAGGCAATGACCAAGAAAGCAACAGCTCTTCAGCAACCTCGCTTTTGGAAACACAAGAAGGAGGAGGGGAAGAACAGAAAGAAGATGGAAAATAATGAACAAATCATAAAACACAATCACTAAACAAGGAATCTTTTGAACTAGATTCTGTTATTCAACAACTAACTTCTATACCATTTAAGAAATGTAAACTATGACTTAGATATTCCACGGGATTTATGCATATTTATTTTCTTTTCTACTTCAGACAATGTGACTCATCCCTTCCTTATTACTGCTAGCACTCCAAGCTGTCTCTTTGAGGAGTGAGTTAAAAAAAATAATCACAATGTCCATTTGACAAAGTGTATTTTCATGGAAAACTCATTAAGAACTGATTAAATTCTACACATTTAAATGGCTTCATTTGATTAGTATAATTTATAACTAAAGAATCAACTCTTAAAGAATTGATCCCCAATTCAACTCTAACTGCAAGGCATATGCTATTTCTACTATGATCTGCTTTGATATTTGTGTAATTGTTAAGGGTAATGGATGCTATTCAAAGAAAGAAATAAAATTTCTCTATTAGGAAAATGATATGGCAGATTGTTTGGAAAGTCAGTGTGGTAAGATCACATAGATGAGAGAGGCCACTTAGAGAATGCTCCAAGTTACACAACCTACAAGGCAATGTTTTTGGAGAAAGGATGGCAATGAAAGTTGTGTGATGAGTTGCTTTGTCAGAGGACCGGGGATAGATTTCTAGTACCAATGCTCTTGTTTAACCTCCACAGGCACTGCACGGCACAGGGTAACTTACACACATGCAGACAATACACACATACACATAAAAAATAAAAATAATAATAAAAATTTAAGTGATGCTATCTTTTAAATTATAAGAAACACATATTGGAGATAAAACTTTAAGTCAATGTGATTAAAATAAGATCATTATCGTTGCCGTGGTTAATCAACATTCTAATGGTACACAAAATAATGGTGCATTTTACAGCTAATGCTTTGTTAGATTCAGTGAAATTAAGCATAAGATGTAACATTCAGAAAGTCTCTCCCCACAGATATGTCTGAATGTTTAATGATGGATCAGTGTTGAACATCACATAGTATTCTTCTTAGGGGCACTTAAATAAACTTCTAAATGGAAATAAAAGAGTGATAAAAGATTGTCTTGGCATCACAAAGAATGACTTACAGAACAGAACCTTTCAGTCATTGCAGTGATTAGTGAGAGATACATATTGGTTGGCATCTGTTTCTCGCACCACGATGTCCCTCCAGTCTTAACTTCACCACTGATCATCTTATTTAACCTCGTCACTGTTCCAGTCTCAACTTGTCCCACTGCTCTAGACTTAATCTCTTCTGTAATTCAAGTTTTTGTTAGCCTTTCACACTGTTTCAGGCTTAGTGTTTGGACGTGGCTCCATGATGTGGTTAAATATTTAGCTTCTCTATGTTTAATTTCTCCATCTGTAAAGTGGAGAGATTCAATGTGACTCCTAGGACCACATGAAAAAGAGAAAGATGAAATACTAGCTGTGATGAAGAAGCACAATGCCTGGAACATAAACAGAAAAAAAATCTTCAAAGGAGGCTTAAAATAAACTACATTCTAAAAACTGAAATTTGTCAGAAATCATAGAAAGTTTCCTTGCTATGAGTTTAACCTGACTGCAACAGAGACTGAGAGAGCCTGTTTGAACTAGACAGTTTTAGCATCTTAAGGATGAATGTCCTCTGCTTATTTTAGGGCATGATAAGCAGATCACAACAAAATGAAGACTGGAAAACAAAACTCCTGTTAGGAAATGAGTATGCCCATCAATCGAAGTCCTGTGCCAAAGTCTCTAAAGCAGAAGGGGCAAGAATCATATTGGGAGCAGCACAGTGTGAGAGGGGCAGAGCAGTTAAATACCGTAACACTTCCCACAACATTTAACAGCAGGTGTTCACAGACATAATTCCCAAGCAGTATACAGACTTATTAAATCAGTTCAAACATCTCAAGCTAACTCAGCTTGAAATCCCTCTACTAGAGATGAGTCACTTTGGTTTGAATATGTGATCTATAGAACACTATAAAATACATTATTATCACCTAGAAGAGAAGTCTCACTTTGTCTACATATTTGCATAAGCTGCTGTGCCAGATAGACAGGGCAAGAGACAGAATTGAAGCCAAATAAGGTTGTTGGAGTTCAATAAAATTTACATAGTCTCAGGAGAAGCAGGGAAAACGTTATCAGCAGGAAACCAAAGTGGGTAAGTTGGACAGATGGAAGATTTTAGAAGACTTTGTACTGGGAAAACAATAAACATTAAATTAAAGTTCTGAGAAAGAATTGATATTTTACCATTCTATCTCTAGTTCCAAGCACAGAACGTGACACAAGATAGGCCTTCAGTAACATTTGAGGAAAGAAAAGATGGCAGAATGAGGTACACCTTTACTGTTTATATGTTGCTAAAATACCACAATGAAAAGTGAATTTTATTTTTTCATGTTCATGTAAGACAAGAGAATAGCAGAACATAGATGAAGCTTGTCTCATCTATGTCTCAGGTTTTTATAGATTTTCAGAAACATAAGACAACCTGTAAAGTATCTAAAACTATAAAGTAATGGCTTTGTCCAGTACTTGTAAGCACAGGGCATGCGTCTTCTCATCTTTATAACCTTCCATTTATCATAATGCACTACATAGGATAGGTACCCAATAAAGGTTGATTAAATTAATGGGATTTGAATAACCAAAGTTGATCATCCAAAAACTTGTGTGTATTTCATCTAACAGTTCAGAAAATTGCCTGCCGTGTTACCAATGGCTTTGTCCAGTACTTGTAAGCACAGGGCATGCATCTTCTCATCTTTATAACCTTCCATTTATCATAATGCACTACATAGGATAGGTACCCAATAAAGGTTGATTAAATTAATGGGATTTGAATAACCAAAGTTGATCATCCAAAAACTTGTGTGTATTTCATCTAACAGTTCAGAAAATTGCCTGCCGTGTTACCATGCAGGCACAGTTGATAGCATGCCTCTTTCATCTATTGATGACTTATGATTTGGCTCATTTAATTGTGTTTATGTTCTACTGTTTTCTATTTTTTGTGGGAAATAAGTTTGCTTTTCTGCCATATTTTTGCTCAGCCACATTTACATGCGTATTGACAAATTAGTGCATTTCAGTAGCCTTATGTTTCTACTGAGAGACATGAGATATTTTATCTGCAGCATCTGTGTATTTAAAAATATTCTCTGTAGGAGATGCCAGTTTTTATGTAAATGAAAGTGGAAACATGAGGCTAAAACTTAGTAAATAGAAGAGTCAATAAGTAGAGTTTTCTTAAAAGATGTACCTTAATTTCTTCCTGCAGACTCTGATTTAGTTAATTAACTAGATGGCTGAGGAATGGGAAAATTAAATTACACTGTGTGGTTGCTGTCTTTGAATTTATATATATATATATCTATCCCACCTTCATTTATGACATGAAGTTCCTATCAGGATGGGGATAATTGGAACATGGGAAAAGAATCTTTATTCTCTCCCCTTCTCTCATAACCACCCTTCGTTTGTTTACCTTGTGCCCTTTCAGTTTCAAGCAGTGATGAATTTTTATAGACTTAATATTTACTTCTGATCTCATAGTCCTTAAAAGCAGTAATTAACCAATATCAATTGTCAGTGAACTTTCCCAAAGATTTTACTTCTACCCTCATTATCTTGTTGCCAAACTCATTTGAAAAGAATCCAATGAAGTTAAGGAAAGAAATTTTGAGACTTGCTTCAAAACTTAGAACCTAGGATGAATGTTAAAGGTCTAACTCAGAAATTCAAGCTAATGAACTTCCCTTTAACCTAATTATGTCTTATGGCAAATGTTCTCACTTAGTATTCAGCTGTATGTTTTTACAAAGAAATTATTTTTTTGGCTTGCAGAAACTTTCAAATATCAGAGAGCAAAAACCCTTTAGGGAAAGTTATATAAACTCATTCCTTTAAAATATTGACTACAACTGATAATCACCCATTTTTATTTTCTATTCTACACAGTGAGGACAAATTAAGTGGCACAAAGAAAACTGTTATCTTTAAGTTGCTTTTTGATTAAAAATTTTAAAAGAAAGTAGGAAATGACTCAATATTAGTTGTTTCAAGGAAAACTAAACTGTCATCCTTAAAGATGTTAACAACATTAAGTAGATGATCTCTGAAACACGCAGAGACAAATTAGAGAAAAGATTAAGTATTAGGTTCTCATAGAATGTTTGATATATGACTGACATAATAAAATGTCTTATGGGAAAATGTGATATTATACTTGAGAATTTATGCTTATAGATAGTACTCAGTTTTAAGAGCTGATCTTCCTAAAACAAGGGACTCCAGATAAATTTAAGTTTTTTAATTATTTATTTTTATTTTATGTGTATGAGTGTCTACATGTTTGTAAGTGTGCCTGTGTCATACAATTCACGTGAGGGCCAGAAGAGGGCATGAGATCCCCTGGAACTGGAGTTGCATACAGTTGTTAACCACCATATGGCTGCTGGGAAATGAACCTGGGTTCTCTGCAAGAGCGGTCT